AACCAAGCCAACCTCCCCCATTCGTTCCAATTCAAAATTTTCCCCCCCCCCCCCCCCCCCGAAATTCAGCTATTCTTTAGGCAATTACCACCTAGTAAAGGAGGTACGAGAATAATAAATTTGCCTCCAGTGGAAGGTATCTTATGGGTCTAAATGATCCTGTATGTGATGCAGAATGACGGTAACTACTGATGCGAAATAGCCACCCCGCTTTCGTCTTCCTGATGCTTTTCGTGTCTGTCCGTTTCCGGACGTCTTACTTACTTTAGAACGCCAAATGAGATGTACCTACCAAGAGCTTTGAGCCTTATAAGTCAGAAAGTTCAGCGTTCAGTTTTCTAGATTTTGTGCGGTGATTCTAAGGTGCAAACGTCTTTGCTTTTCTTGTGCAAGAAATAACCACCTGCCGATTTATCCCATCTACATATTTTCCGCACAGACATAACTTTGTGTGATCACAACATTCGAAAGACTACATCTGTCAAAGACGAGCTGCTCACAAAGCATCATTCGGAGCATTAGAAGAGGTAGAAAAACACAAGTTCAGGATGGAAAGCACAAAAAGAAAACTCCAGTTGCCATCGGGTTCCCATCATCTGGTATTGTTTTAACCATCGCCTAAGAGTACATCTTTGTAGTAGATTATCACGTTTGGTTATCACGTTCGGAAACCTAACTTATACAGGCAAAACACGAATGTTTAACCACTAAACTGTGGAGATCCGACGAGAGGAATGAAACAGGTTCATCAATTAGATGTGTCGATAGACAAAGCTTGGGACCAAATGGCACAGTCACTTCAGACAACATAATGACGTGTGTCAGATTGTCAGGCAAGAGAACATTTTAACGGTATTTTGTCACCCACATACCCGAAACAATGTCTTGAAATTTCAAGAAAGTATACTATCGGGGAGAGGAACGCAAAGACAATAAACAAAACCTTGATGCGATAAATGGATATTTTGTCTTCAGGTTGCTTGTGACAAATTTTGAAATTTTTCTTTCAAAGACCACTGAGCATGGTAAACATCAGCATATAGTTCATTTTATTGCTATCTTCGGTCATCAACACGGCATCGCAGCGTTACAATTCAAAAGTGTTCAAAGCTAAATTATTAGTCAATTCAGGCTCAGTTCACTTATTTGGCATATTTGTGTCAGACCCTTGCTCTCTGAATGCCGTGAAGGTCAATCATCTATGGCGTCAGAATGGTTTATCCCTGAATCTGAAGTGACGTGTGTATCAAGCTACAGTACGAGCTGTTTTGTTGTATGGCTGTGAGACTCGGCCTATTCGGGCAGTGGAAATGAGAAGTGCTCAGGTGTTCGACAATCGTTGTCTCAGAACCATAGCTCGTGTGAATTGGTGTCGGCAAATCCGTAACGAGGCAGTTAGAAAGCGCGTTTTCGGTCGTGTAACGGGTACTTCCATTGAAGAATGTGTCCGCTGCGTTGGTTGGGACATGTGTTGCGTACGTCGAACCATCGTTTGCCGAAGAGAGTATTGTTTTCCATGCCCAATTCGGAGTGGCGTAAACAGAGAGGTGGCCAACCCTTGACTTGGCAGAGGAGTATGAAGGAGTTCACGAAACGCTTGTGTGCTGTCTGTGCTACTCGCTTTCCAGGATGGGGACCGCGTGATCCTCACTGCGCCTGGCTGCCAACCGATGTCAGTGGCGTTCTTGTTGTCAGTTTCTATCCAGATCGCCTGAGGGAGTGTCTGGAGGTGTGGGCACCTCGGAATGATTGTAGTAAGCTAGCACTGAGTCCCTCCGTCGTTCACCTTTACTCTTTTCTCTACAATAAGGCTGTCAAATAAACCATGGTTGTACCGCAGTGGGGCATCGGTGCTGAACACTGATGTCATGCTGTCGATGATGATGACTTGCTCTCTGAAGTCGTAGTGATATCATACACTTAAGCGAGCCTTTAGATTGCTCGTTGAAGTGTTCATGTTATATCTGCTACTTTGTAAATCCGTGGTGTCTGCTGCTGACCCGCTCCAGTGCCTAGTTGCCGGAAAAAGATTCACAAAAGGGAACTTTACAGCTATATTCTGAACAAGCGAGTGCGAGGGCGTGAGTGCGTGCGAATGCAAGAGCAAAAGTTACAACGGCCCCATGCTATTTAAAGCGGACTTTCTCACATTGATCCAGGCTGTCTGATAGGCGTTAGTGAACACCCATCAACATCGATCGTGCCTCTATGAAATGCCTGAACGCAGATCACATTCGGTCGTGCTTCCGTGGCGTGCAAGAACACTCATCAGCTTTTGCTGAACTGATTTAATGGCTGACTGGCCTGGATGCTTGCCGGCTTTCCTACTGAGATTTAGGTGGAGCAGTAAGTTCCGGGCGTTCTGAGGTTAATTCAGGAATCTAACCTGCCTGATAGTTCGTAACATACCTGGAATAGTCCCATAGAAGGTCGGTTCATTTAGCTGGTTGTTCTAGCTCGATAATTCTTCAAAGTTAATCACGTGACGGCCGGCAGCCGACGCGTCCCGCACGCATTTATCGTACTTCATTTTTATTGAATACCGACCAAGGAAGCGAGCTCGAATGCAACTACCCGTCAGCAGGGGTTATATATAGAGTGAACAGGTTAAAAGCGTGACTATAGTTCACCAGTTTTTCAGCCTTATACAACATTGTACCAACGCGGTGCCAATCTGAACTCTTCACCAAAAGGTTTATTGGTAAGTAGAACGCTTTTGACCAAGCGTTGTAATCTTTCACGTGATGATATTTAATGCGTGTACAGGTGGTAATTCGCTGTTCTGATGAGAATTTTGTTGATAAGCCTAATTTGGGGTTCACAACTTCCCACAAATGTACCTGACGTCAGAACAACGTAAGTAAACGAAACTCGGTGTACGCACACAGTTTGTTTTGGTATCTCAATACCAGACAGATATGAAGGGGCTTCACTTAGCTACATGACAGACACGGTAACAGTTCCAGACAGAGTATCATAACGAGACATTCACGCTTCGTTTACCAGCAGTCACAAACAGCTGCTTCAGAGCGCACAAAATGGATTCTAATCTATCAGTCACTATTGTCTTGAAGAAAGTCGACACATTTGATTGTGTAACAAAGTAATACGGTGGGAAATGAGACCATGTCGAAGCGTTGGTGAGACAAGAACAGGTGACGTCCGAGTGACGAAGCTGGAAGCTTATGGGATCAGGATGTAAATTTGCAATCAAACTTGGGTTCAAGTAGGACATAAGGTTGCTGGGAACTCGGGAACTGCGCCTACCTGATGAACCCCAAGAAGGGCGAAACCGGTCGTGGGCTGTCGAAGAGTTTTCAGTGACCTTGTGAATAGTTTCCCTAACGAAACAAATCTGAAGATGTTTCTCCCGAAACTGGACTACATATTACTCCTATCAGTGTAAGATAGATACATTTTTTATTTGCCCCTCAACACAACGGTACTGATAGATCTCGGATCCCCTGGCCTTCCGTGGCCATGCTGTGTTCTTTATAAGCCTGTTGGCAGGCTTGTAAGGATACGGGTCATCAGCGTGTTTCCTTTTAAAAAATGTTCCCTATTACGCTCGGCCCAGCGTGCAGATGTGGCATGTTGGAGGAATCAAGCCCGTAATTCACTGGATTGAAACTAGAAAAATGCATGCATGTACTGTTCTGAAGACCAGGTGGGTCACGAGCATATAATTTTCTCGTCTAGACAAAATATCCTGGAGTTGGAATACTACTGTTGAGTTCTGCTGCAAAGGTTTTGGACAGTGTGGAGCAAAACAAAATCGCACTTCAGACGACCGCAAGTATATAAACGTTATCCTTGGCTTCAACAAACTCACATGTTGGTAAGAAAAAGACTGCACTCCTATACATTTGGCCACGCATTTTTGTACCTTGACCAAACTGGGAAGTCCTGACTGACGGGTCAATAGATCGTCACAACCAGGACAGTCACTGGGTCGCCGTTCGATTGGTCGGGCACCCCAATCACATCTCTCAAGTGTGAACACATTCGCCTGTTCAGACGCGAAAATACAGCGTTGGTGGAGAAGCGGTAACACGCTCGCCTGGCATGTCTGATGTCCAGAGTTCAAATCTCGGCAAGACCACTGGATATGGGCTGGTGATGAGCTCTAATAAGAGCGAAACTCGAGTCCAGTGCTTCCGTTTGGTGTGGACTCATTGGAATAATCACGCCAGAACAGGAATACGACCGTTCAAACGAGAGTGGTGTGAATTTGATCAAGGCCATAGAAACGTTCGCTAAAGCCGAACCCAGACAGTCGCTCATTCCTAGGCATTCCATCTGGTGGATTGAAAACTATGTCAGCAAACTGTACGGACTGTAAGTAAGCCAGCCGGAGTAACAGGTAAGGTCTGTCACTTCAAGTAAGTTTTCAACTCCCAAGTGATTTGCACCACCTGGGCCTAGTAAATCAACACCTGGTATTTCAGTTTTTATGGCACTAGCCTAGTGAGCCATAGGTTCGAATCCCGTCCGAAGGTTTTTAGTTTTCGTTTGCATTATGTGAACTCAAGCGTTTTCAAATCTATTTTCCTGTCAAAGAAATAGTTCATTGTATTGTGTAGAGAATGCTTTCAGAGTAGCATCCTACCCGAAACTTTATTGTCATCCTTGTTAACGTTTCATGTGATCAGCCAGTTTGAAAAATTCTTCGAAATTCGAACGTTGTATGCCTGAACTATCCATTAACTACTGGGTCAAGTCATGCTCCTCGACATGCAACCACTGAAAACGCCACTTACAATCCACGGGGAAGTACTCGAAGTTGCGGAGCGTTTTACGTATCTTGGAAGTTGTGTTAGTTCCAACTGCCAGATGCCGGATGAGGTCAATGAGCAAATCTGCGACGCTCGGTTCACGTTTCCTACTTTTAGACACCTATGGCGTCAAAGTGATGTATGCAATCTCAAGGGACGTGTGTATCGAGCTGCAGTGCGGGCTGTTTTGTTGTATGGCTGTGAGACTTGGCCTATTCGAGCAGCGGAACTGAGACGTCTTCAGGTGTTCGACAGTCGTTGTCTCAGAACCATAGCTCGTGTGGGTTGGTGTCGGCGAATCCATAACAAGGCGTTTTCGGTTGTGTAATGGTGTGTAACTTCCATTGAAGAATGTGTCCAGCACCAGAAGCTGTGTTGGTTGGGACATGTGTTGCGTGTGTCGAACCATCGTTTGCCGAAGAGAGTGCTGTTTTCCATGCCCAAATCAGACTGGCGTAAGAAGAGAGGTGGCCAACACTTGAATTGGCAGAGGAGTATGAAGGAGATCACAAAACGCTTGTGTGTTGTCGGTGCTACTCGCCTTCCAGGATGGGGACCGCATGATCGTCACTGTGCCTGACTGGGGATGCTGCAAGATGTGGCTTCATATGGCGATCGTGTTACCGGTTTCTATCCAGATTGCCTGAGTGAGTGTTTTGGATGTGTAGGCATCGCGGAATGATTGTAGTAAGCCAGCACTAAGTCCCTTCCCCTTTATTTTCCCTTCACACATTCAAATAAATCATGGCTGTGCGTCAGCGAAGCATCGATGTTGAACACTGATGTCATTCTGTCCATGATGGTAATGATGACTGGGCCAAGTTCAGTTGCGATGAATTTTTGATGGACAAAACTGGGTGCAGAGCTAAACTTCCCTCGCGTTGTTCGTAGCCGAAAGAGATTGTGTTGCTATTGCGCTGGTATTACGTTGTATTTGGGCAACACACTGTGAAGACGGACCACCAGTTGAATAGCAATCACGCTTCAGATAGATCTACTCTCTCTCTACCCAAACTTGTCACTCATGCACCTCAGGACTGGTTCCCGTACCGGGTCACGAACTGTAGCGGAGTGCGTCACTCGAGTATGCATGTGCGAGTGTGTGATACTTCATCAATTAGAACCGACGTTTGAGGTTTTATTTCTGTTTACGCCCTTACCTGAGTAAGTTTCCAGCTGCGATTTGTTCGTGTGTCTAAAAATTCATGGAGAAGGCCAATACATGACCATTTCGTAATTTGGGAACGATAATGACATTGACACAAGAACTTCGACACTATTCTCTTCTTGGACATTCGCACAAGATTGCGAAAAGATGATACCCGAAAATAGTCCTCTCTTTGTTTCAGTTGCAAACTAATCGAGTGAGACCAAATGTTGGGCCAACACGGAACACTGAAAATCAAATCGGAGTCATTGGATCACAAATTCAAAGTATGTTCTCACCAAGAAGTCATTCACCTTCGGAAATGTAGATCTGAATGCGATACCAAGAAATTGCAACACGCAACAGCGAGGAGCTGTCTGTTTGTCTGGTGCCCCTTCTACCAGAGTAGATTTGCGCAGTCGAGACATAGTCGTGACTAGCTCTTCTGTGAGATTCACATCCAGTCTTGACAACGGATATCAACTTTAATGTGGTAAAGTCAACAAACGTTCTGCTAACGCAGCCGATTGTCATTCTCCCGTGTGGTGATTTGGACTACCTTTGTGCACAACACCGGCCTCGAGACGTGTTTTCGAAAAAGAAGGAAGTTCTCGAAACAGCTCCTCCAATATCTGTATTC